AGAGTTAATCAACTAAATACAACACAAAATTTTCTGTAGTACTTAGTATTTAGTTGCCCGACTGTGGATATCCAATATATTTAAACCTATACTAGTATATACATATAGTATACAAAAGCCATAAGATTATACAATAAAAAATTAATTATTAACGTACTTGGTACTCTGTACTTACAAAAGTACTCATTAAGTGTGCTTTTCTACGTTATTTACTTGGTACTCGAGTACTTTTTGGGAAGAGTACTTGTACTCTGTACTTAAGTACTTTTTTCTTGTACTTGGAACAGCTCTGATGTCATGGTAAACTTGCGTTTCATTACTTCCCCAGAGTCGATCACTTTGAGTTTAGCACCATCCCAAGGTACCATGATTTTAACGGTTTGCTCAACCCAATCTCTCATTGATTGATCAACGCAAGAAATGTTTAAACTCCCGTTTCTCATTCTAGCTAACCAAACCTCCTTGAATGAAGTTGTTCAGAAATCCCTAGGAGTCCCGTCCTTAAAAGATTACAAAAATATTTTCATAATAAAACTACGTAATGGACTGAATGGAAATATATATTTAGCAAAAACTTGATATGGATATAAACAAATGTTATTTAATAAAATAACTAGAATAAAATTTGGTTTCAAAACATGGAGAGATTTAATATCAAGTGTAAACAAAAAGTGCTCAAATCCACCAATTTCATTTTCCAACAACTATAAACATACTGAGTGTATTAATAACTGTTAACGAATAAATATTATAAATAAATTATACACTAGGGATTTAATAAGACAAAAGATTTGGAAACATTTTTGTTTACACCCGATATACAATAAAAATCGGTACTGCACAAAAAGGTAAATGTGATGGCGTTTTTCTTCTTCATTAAACCAAATAAATTTAAACAATAAATTATAATATATAAAAACGTTTACAAGATTTGTGTAAAATATCCAAGACCAAATAAATAGGCACTTTGGTCTGCAATGCTTATATTTACTAAATTGTAAAAAATCTAGAATCTTTTGTGTATTCAAAAATTATAACAAATAAATGTACACAAAGAATTACGATGAAAAGATACACAGAGTCCACCCTTACAGACATAAAAAAATGGATACATATTAAACTAATTTTCAAAAATCAGTACGATTTAAATTAAAAATATACCTTAAGTCTGCCCGCCAAAAACTCCGATCTACCGGTGACCTAAAAATAATTGCTCGATATTTTCGAGATCACCAGGTATATATTGATAATTCGACTGAAACGACATACCTAACTTTATCGAACCAATATTTTAAAATCCACAAAGTTTGGGCTAAATTAGGAGAAAAGTAAAGTTGTGAGAATAGAAAATAAGAAGGAATTTGGAAGTACAGTAATAGATTAAATAAAAAAGAAGATCGAGGCGAGACTAAGCAAATTTTATTGAGCTTTTTGTTAAAATAGTCAGGAAGAAGAGAGAAGTTTGAGACAAAACAGAATTATTTTAATTACCTTGCAAACACGAAATAGAAACAGAGATGAGTTATTTATTTAATTTTGATTTCAGTTTAAGACGGGCAAACACAATTTAGAGTTATATAAACAATTCTTTAATTTCATTATTTTATCTTATCCACTTTTTAATTGATTTTAAAATCATACATTATTAAACAACTGTAATAAGAAAATTTTATTGTTATTAGTTTAAAATAAATCATGCATCATTTAACAAATTGTTGAAATATAAAAAGTTAAGTATCTCTTTTCAAACTTCCTCGCAGACAAAAAAATTGAAATAACTGTTCCAATAAATTTTGACGTAGCACCAATTTATTCAATATAGACAATAACATTTACGAACTACCTCAAAAAATTGTCCTTTTTTTCTTTAATAAAAAAAAGAGAAGTCTTAAATCACTGGAAAATATTTCCGTACATCACCAACTGCGGCATCACCAAGGTACAGCCACAGTCAAAAGTCAGTTCCACATAGTCCGTCAAAATCCACCAGAGGGCGTTTTAACTTTACAAACTTAAAACTTCTTGTCCGCTATATGTACATAAACATTGATTTAAGCGTTGTAGATTCTGAGGAATACGGAACGGCCCATAAGAGCGTTTAAGTTTTATAGCACTTTCATTTTTACAAATAAGCGACAAATTTTTAATAATATTCTGTTAAAATTATGCTATTTAACAGAAAAAAAAGAGTATGTGTTACCGAACGCACGATATAAGTGTATTTTTTCAAGTAAATAATTTATTGGCTTTGTTTTTTCCGTGTAGTAAATTCTTTTTATTTTTCAGTTTGAACCAAAGCCAAACAGAAATAACGTTGAATCGTCAAATAAATATAATCATACTAATAATATAGGTGGTCAAGTGTTTCAATGCACACCAGAGTATGGCACGTATCAACAAGATATCACAGAATATGTTGATACTGGAAGATATTTATCAAATTATAAGTGACAATTTACCAAAAACTATAGGAATACATTCCTCGGTATTTCAGGCCGAGGTATAGGGTAACATGAGGTTAACTGAACACTTGCGTACATCTGTCATGTCATTGTTGGTAATGGCCTCTACTTTTGGAAGTTCAGTGACTTGCTAACAGATGTCACTTTATTTCTAAAATATTACGAATAAAGCGATCATAACCTAAAATAATTTTAGTAGCGGCTATGTAAATTTTCGACCTCCCAGATATTTTGTGCCACATGCCGAAATCAGTGATACACCCAAAATCTTAGTGGATATAACTTAAGCGTGAGTACTTTACTATTGATTACCATTATTAAAACTATTGCTAAACCTTATGCTACTTCGAAATTATTTGTTTATATTTTTTACATATACAACAGGTTATCTGGACACAAGTCACAACAGGTTAAATGAACAGGTGTCCAGTTAACCTGCAATTTGTAAATTAGCGATATTCGTAATTTTTTGTTTGTTTTTCTTTTCAGAATTATGCCACGCACGACCAACAACAATCCAAGAAGTTCTGGAAAAAGGTAGTTCGGTGAGAAGTGTTGCCATGACCCTAAATAGAATTACCTTCAAAAGATAAGTCGATAAAGCTCGAGATAAAGACATTAATTCCATTAACTTTCGACCAAACAATGAGCATCTAATGGTTTTTTCGCAAGAGGAAGAACTTGTTTTAAAGAAATATATTCAACATGCTTGCAATATTCACTACGGTTTATCAAGCAAACAAACTCGCACTCTAGCCTACGAATACGCGGTGGCTAACAACAAAAGTGTTAAAGACAGTTGGACCAGAGAAAGTATGGCAGGAAGAGAATGGATGGTTAGCTTTATGAAGAGACACAAACTATCATTAAGAACCCCAAAACAGACCAGCATGAGGAGCAACAAGCTTCAAAAAAACAAATGTTGAAGCTTTTTTCAAAAACCTTCTAGAGGTAAAAACGAAATTTAACTTCGAAAGCGAAGACATCTATAACTTGGATGAAACCGGAGCAACTACTGTTCACAAGCCGCCCAAAATACTAGCCACAACAGGCCAAAAAGGCGCGGGCCAAATAACTTCTGCTGAACGAGGGACATTGGTTACAGTTGTGGGTATTATTGGCGCTACAGGCCGTTACGTACCGCCGTTCTTTATAATCCCTCGTAACCATTTTAAGGATAACATGTTACACGGAACTCCACCTGGGACAAAAGGCGCCGCTACTCCACCTGGATGGATGAACAGCAGTTTATTTCTACTTGTTTTACAGCAATTTGCTCAGCATGAAAGACCGTCCAAAGAACACCCGAAGTTGATCCTACTTGATAACCACGAAAGTCATTTGAGTATTGCTGCACTCAATTTCGCAAAAGAAAATGGCATAATTCTCCTAACTCTGCCCCCACACTGCAGCCACAAGCTTCAACCTCTTGACGTTGCAGTTTTCGGTCCATTTAAAGTTTTATAATAATGCTTGTGACAGGTGGATGGTAAATCATCCTGGAAAGACGATTACAATATATGAAGTCGGTGGTCTCGTAGGAGAAGCTTTCCTACAGTCTTTTACTCCGAAAAATATTTGCAGTGGATTCTGGGCCACCGGCATAGAACCATTTAATGCCGACATTTTTCCTGAAGAGGCTTTTTTATCATCGTATGTGATAGACAGATCAAACCCCGAACAATGTCAATTATCCCAACCCCAAACGGAAGAAATACCTGCCAAACCGTCACCAATGACAATAGAACCAACGGCAACACCTGGTTCTTCAAACGAGAAATTAAACTTAAACCAAAACGAACAGTATCCTGGAACTTCTAAACTAATAACACCTCAACAAATTCGTCCCTTTCCAAAAGCTGCTCCAAGAAAAATGGCAACTAGGCGTAAGATAGGAAAATCCTTGATTCTAACCAACACTCCCATCAAAGAAAGTCTAGAAGAAGAGGCTAAAAATCGTGAAGATAAGAAACATAAACAACAAAAAGTAAATGAAACCAAAAGACAAACAATAACGAAACGTATTTTGAAATCTAGCTCCTCTGCCAGCGAAGAAAATATAAGTTATCACGAAAGTTCAGATTAACCAGAGGATTTTGACGATTACAATGAGATATCCAGTGATGTTTTAGAGGGACACTATATTATAGTAAAAGTTTTTGGAAAAACTGCTATAAACTTTCGACATTATGTTGTTAAAGTTCGTAAGCAAATACTCAATGGTTACGACGTAACTTTTCTGAAAAGTTATAACTCAACCAACAAATTTATAGATGAAAATGAAATGGGTTTCGTATCCAAAGAAGATGTTGTTTTGAAATTACAACCTCCAATAAAAAGTAGCAGCGCTCGCTTTGCAAACATGACATCATTTTCCATTGATTTTAGTGATTTAAATTTCACAGTTTTTTAAAATTTTCTGATATTTTAGCTAATACATTTTTCCTTATGTAAGTTTCATTATTTTTTTCAAACCTCTTATATATTTTTCAAGTATTTTATTATTATTTTAAAGATATGTTCAATTAAACTACCCATATGTTCAATTAAACTACCCATATGTTCAATTAACCTACCCATATGTTTCAGTTAACCTGCACATGGGGTCAACTGAACCATATTGCAGGAATGCAAAAAATAAAAAAAAGCTTCTTTTAATAAACTGTGTGTCAGCTGTATTTTTTTTCCATTGTTATATGATCAAATTATATGCCCTAGACAAAATTTTGGTCTAAGCTTTCATACCAGAATATCAATTTAAATATTTCCATCAGATGGTTCAGTTAACCCCATGTTACCCTACTCCTATGTTCAGTTTTATTGTTGACATTAAGATTTATTTTTATTATTAAGAATAAGAATCCAAATTTTTGTTTTTTTTCTGTAAATATAAATATTGTTGTATCAACGTTTAAGTTGTTTTTTTTTTACTTTTTTTATAAAATTATTAATATATTGGATTTCTAAAAATTTCGTCATAACGAACAACCATTTTTATAAACTTTTGGTTTAAGTAGGTAAATATTTGTATTTTAAATTTTTTTGGGGGATTTTTTATTATAAGGTTGCGGTTTTGGGGGATTTTTAATGTCAATTTGGGGGAAATTGAAACGACCGGTTTGGCAAACCTGTAATCAAAAGTAATCGATTAAAAATAAATAATAAACAACTAATCCATTATTTTGCCACCCCTACTCACGCATTCATATAATGAACAATCTTAACTGACCGTTCAAGTTTTTTTATCTCTCAACTTGTGAATCATACAGGGTAAAACGAGTTAGAATAATTTAGATTGAACTTTCTTCGGATTGGTCATTTAATCTTTAAATTTACTTCCATTTATATTAAAAATGTTTGCTTTAATAATGGTGCTACAAAACTTTCGACTCTCTGATGGACCCTCCCCAGTATGTTAAATATTAAATATAATTAAGAATGACGCGCATCGGCAATATCGTTATTTGGAAATTCTAGGCTTAAAATCTTTAAGAATTTTGAAATAATCGAAAACATACCACAGAAGGTTTCAAATTTGTAAATACCGTCAAAAATCAGTGTTCAACTGATTGATTTGCAGAACAACGAAGCTATTAATAAAAATGTTCTTTTATTATTGTGGACATTAAATTAATACTGGAAATATCTTATTATTTGCCAAAATTATTCTTTAATATAATTTATTCCAGAATCGAAAAATAGAATTAAGCGATGATTTATGTCCATTATTATACGCATCTGAATTATTAGCTAATACCCCAAACTAATTCAAAATTTCTACCAACCAGTCAAATCAGTCTTTTGCAAAAGCGCGCGAAATAAAAAATTGCACAAAAAAACGCGTTCTGCCATTTTTATCATTTTCCATCTTAAAAACGTTAAGCCTTTCGTTCGAAAAATTCGATATATAAACAAAAAGTAACATAATCGAAGCGTTTTTCTTTTATTATTTTCAAAAAGTGCAGTGGACTCTGCGATTTTTACCTAAATTTGATAAACCTAAATATTAATTGTTTGGGATGCTCTGTAGAAAAATACACAATGTCCTATAAAATAAAATCCAACAATAAAATTGAAAGAAATACAATAAAGTCACCAACTATTAATTATAAGGGAGGGACGTTTGGTATTTAATTTATTGTATCCCAAATATAAAACGATAAATTTAACAAAAAAAATTGTAACAACTGCCCTGTAATTGTAATGTATTGTCCTATATTTTTTAAATTTTTACCAAAACAGGACGTTAACAACCACTTTTAACTTTGATGTACCACAAGGAACACTCTTAAGGCCACTTTTTGTGACAATGTATAGCTTATAGCTAACAAAAATGAAATTCAAGATTTCGAAAATGATTTTGAGCACTTCTTACACTCCCAAATTCTAAAACGAGTTGACATTGTTGTATTTTTCTACGGGGCGACGTTCTTTAAGTGTAATTTGTACAAGGGTGAGCAAAAGGTTTTTTTTAAGAAAGAAAATCATAATCGAAGAGATCTGCTAAGCCTTCTGTCGCGTCTAAACTGAAGTTGTACTCAGGTTGCATGAGTGGTTCTAGTGGAACCAGTTCACTGCACAAAAGAGGATCCATAACATCTGAAAAAAGAACATACATTAATAATACGCAAAAATTGATATATCTTGGTTATAAAGACAGAGGACCATAACATATGAGTAATGTAAAACCACCTTGGTTGCTTTTACTACCATTATGTGCGTTTCCTGATGAAACCCACTGTTCAACAAACTAAAAAGGCAACTGTACTATAATAGTTTTATTTTTTTTTATTTTTACTTTATTTATTTACGGAAAATCTCCTTTTACAAAATAATTATTTTCAGTAGATATTTTAAACCTAACCTAAAGTATCACACAAAAAATAAAACTTAACCCTTTCGGCCCTCCCGGAGGCAATTGCCACCGCTATATTTACAGCATTCTAGCGCCAAGAACGATAAATAATCTGGCTATTAACTACGAGGTGTTACTAGTGGTGACCATGGGTACTGCGAAAATGTAAATAATACCATCGTTATTAGTTATTTTCAATGTTTTGATGAGAGGTGTTTTCATTTTTGTAAAGATCGAGTCAAATTTTATCAACAATATCTTTGGTAAGTAAAAAATATTAGTGTATGTAATTATTTATTGACTTTTTCATGAATTATGTGTATACATAGATATACAGGGTGATTTTTTGAAAAAGATCCACCCTCGATAACTTCGTTCTCGTCTTGATTCAGGTAAAATCCAAAAACAGGTCAATTTTTATCCTTAGGGCGACACATTTTTAGATCACAACTGATTTTGTCGGATCAACCCCATGACCCCACCAGCCCCCACCTCAAAAACCTTCAATAGCAAGGGGGACCGAGTGACCCCTCGTTGGAAAGGTTTTTGCATTTACCATACGACCATGTAAGAATTATTTCGTTTTGTACAGGGTGGTTCAAGAAAAAAGACAAATTGCAATTACATACATCATAATAGATTCTTAAAATGACCACCGTTGAGAATAATAGGAATCCTTCCTCATTCAACAATTTATCTTCTGTCGTAAATTCACTCAAATTTTTTGCTTCAGTTTTTGAAGACGGTTGATGAGTGATATCGCGCTATCGCTCTTTTTGTATGCATTTTTATCTGCAATTTTTTGCGCATCTTTACAAGCCGTTTTGACGGATTAGATTTAATCCAAGTAGTTTGCAGTCAGTTGGTATGTCAATTGATTTATTCCCTGTAAAATGGTTTACACTATTGCCGAGCGGGTAGAAGTTATTTTTATTTATGGTGAGGAGCAGAATTGTGCCCGCGCCACTGCCTGAGTTTTTAATGCGAGACATACAGATAAGCGAATGGAGCACAAATATGTCACGCAACTTATGCGGAAGTTTCAAGCAACAGGATCGGTGAAAAATATGAAGAAAGAAGGTAACAGAATAGTTAATGAAATGGCTCAGATTGAAGTGGTGGGGAACTTTACTTTCGATCCAACCAGTTCTTTGCGTCAGATTGCTACGACCACTGGACTTTCGTATTCATCAGTACGCAAAGTGACAAAACTTTTTAAATTCCATCCCTATAAAATGAAGATACTTCAAGAGCTTGTGGATGATGATTCTGATAGGAGATTACAGTTTTGCGAAATTATGACGGAAATGATAAACGCAAAGCCAAACCTAATAAAAAACATTTGCTTTAGTGACGAATGTAGTTTTTATCTGCATGGCGCAGTCAATAAACAGAATGTCCGATATTGGAATGATGAGAATCCTCACATTTTTAGAGAGGGACATACTCAAGCTCCTCAGAAATTAAATGTATGGGCAGGAATACTACGCGATGCGGTAGTCGGTCCGATTTTCATTAATGATACTTTAACTGGCGAGGTATATTTAGTGCTGCTGGAGGATATCATAGATCCCTTGATAACGGTTGAAGTTGAAAATCAGCGGGATCAAGATGGAAATCTTGTACTTGAAGAAAATGAGCTTTTCTTTTCAGCAAGATGGAGCCCCACCTCACTTCGCTGTGAATGTTCGGAACTGGCTGAATCAGAGATTTCCGCATCATTGGATTGACAGGCGGGGAGCAATAGAATGGCCTCCACGGTCACTGGATTTGACAGGACCAGATTTTTTCCTCTGGGGGCACCTAAAATCTGTTGTCTTCAAAACTCAACCAGCAGATTTAGTGGAGTTGCGACAACGAATAACTGACGCATGCAGAAGAATCCATAGAGAAATCTTTCAACGGGTGAGAGAGGAATTTGAAAACCGCCTTTACTACTGCATGGAGAATAACGGTGGTCATTTTGAGCACTTGTGATTTTGCTTCCTTTCACTCTATCCGTTTCTTCTCGTTTTGTAAACAATTAATACGATTTTTATTCCAAAAATTAACCAATTAAAGCGAAATGTAAATCTATTTATTGCAATTTGTCTTTCTTCTTGAACCATCCTGTACAAAACGAAATAATTCTTACATGGTCGTATGGTAAATGCAAAAACCTTGAGGTGGGGGCTGGTGGGGCCATGGGGTTGATCCGACAAAATCAGTTGTGATCTAAAAATGTGTCCCCCTAAGGATAAAAATTGACCTGTTTTTGGATTTTACCTGAATCAAGACGAGAACGATGTTATCGAGGGTGGATCCTTTTCAAAAAATCACCCTGTATAATTAGTTGCTTTGCTAATGCTTCATATTTTTTATAAAAGAACCTTCTCCATAGACCCTTAAAATATGTGTACGTAATTGCCACCAATAGGTTTTTGCGACTGATTCAATATATTATATATTGTGAAATAATTTTACCGTTTTTAGATTGCAACAGTATTCCACCAATGCAGTTTTATGGTAAATTATGAACTATTAGGCATTCCAAACTGAATGGCTACCAGTGGGTTTTGACGGGTTATGATATTGCAAAATTATGGCAACCCTGTAGGCCTGGTGATTTGACAAGGTCAATGAAATAGATAGTTACATAGATTGATTATCCATATTTTTCAAAATAAACATAAGCGTATGCTTTGAAGTAAAAATGTAAGCAATTATTTTTTTTTAAATATCTAAAGGCTAAAAATTGGTTTTAAAACACATTTTTGCTAAACCGATTCAAATTAATAAATATTTGCCAGGCAATATGGCCGCTCGTAAACGACCAGCTTTGAGCAATCTATATAACTATATATGTATCATTGACCCTGTTAATGACAACATGACAACAGGGTTGCCATATCTAAACTGTCATTACCCACTGGTAGCCATTTGGACAGATCGTTAGAATGCCTAATTGCCTAAGTAAGTCTAAGAGATGCAGAGGCGGCTCTAGCTCATTTGCCCGAGTCTGATATAGAAGAAGAATATGATACATGAATTTCAAACTAATGGTAATGAGTCAGAAAATGAGGAAAAAGGAAGTGAAACTGATATTGTAGAATCTGAACATGAAATTGATGATGTAGATTCTAAACATGAAATTGAGAGTGAAAAAAAAAACAATATCAATTCAACAAACTAACGAAACTGAAGATGATATACCATTAGCAGAACGACTACGTCGATTGCGGGAAAAAAAGAAACCAAAGGCAGTTGAGAACCTAATGTGGAAGAAAGCTCAATATTCACGGCCAAATATAGTTTTTTCTCCACCAAGCCACAATGACTGCAATTCACAGGGCGAAAATTTGAGTCCATTGATATACACTAGTGGAAAAAATTAAGGGGTAAAAAAAAATCTTGACTTTTTGCGATTTTTCGAGTGGCTGTATCTTTGGTAAAAATGGTCGTACGGAAATAAAAAAAAGCAATTTGAAGCTCGAAGTGTCTAGTTTATGGATCTTGTAATAAAAAAAATTTCTAACCAACAATTAGCACAAAATCCTGATGAATATCATGGATAGAAAATTTAAAAAAAAAAAATATTTTTTATTTTTAGTGTACGGACGAAGTTTTTTTTATTTTTTGAAAAAATAATTTTTTTGATTTTTGAAAAAAAAAAAATTATTTTCAAATTTTTTTTTGTATTTTTTGTGAAATTTTTGATTTTTATGACTTCAAACGATTTCTGCAATGAAAATGACGAAAAAAATCAGGGGAAATTTGTATTTTTCATTTTTATACAGATTACGAGCCATAGAACCGAAAAAACGCGATCCTTCAATTTCGTCAAAAATTCACTCGCATGAAACAATGAAATGGCTTGATGGATCAGGTTGAAATTTTGTAGGGATTTCGGGGGAACAATGGCCTGTAAGACGCACACTCAACATTAGTCATTTTCCCAATATTTTCAATGTGGCATGCGATTTTCTAAAAAACCTCAAAAAGACCTGTTTTCCGAAATTCTTCAAAGTCTTGATAGGGATGAAAAAAAATTTTTTTCGTGAAAGAACATGCCACCATCTTGTAGAGAATGAATCGAAGTTTCCAAAACCCCCCCTTCCATTTTCTGAGCGGCCATTGGTTCTTGAGATATGGACGAGAGAAGAGAAAATTACGGATTTTCGTTCATTTTCGCATAACTCAGCAAGGAAAGGTCATCTCGAGGTCATCAAAAAAAGGAAGTGAAGCTAACGGAACCACCTATTCAATGCATAAAGTGGTTATGTCCGTACACTAAAAATAAAAAAATAAAATTTCAAAAATTTTCTATCCATGATATTCATCAGGATTTTGTGCTAATTTTTGGTTAGAAATTTTTTTTATTACAAGATCCATAAACTAGACACTTCAAGCTTCAAATTACTTTTTTTTTTATTCCCGTACGACCATTTTTACCAAAGATACAGCCACTCGAAAAATCGCAAAAAGTCAAGATTTTTTTTTGATCCTTAATTTTTTCCACTAGTGTATTTTTCTAGATACTTTTCCAGCGAAATATGTATTTCGTTCATAAGTCGGGCAGAAGTATCAATACACACGAACAAGAGGTTCGCAAGCTCGTAGCACTTCATATTGTCATGGGTGTAATCCGCTTTCCTAGATTACGGATGTATTGGGCACCTTCCACAAAAATCAATTTTTTGACGATATTCAAATGTCACGCAACAGATTTGAAGCTTTGCGAAACCACTTACATATTGTAGACCTC